AGTCCTTAGCCCCAGCTAAATGTCCCTTTCTTCCTATCAACCTATTTTTGTTACGTTAAAAAAAATTCCTGTCTTTTGCCACTACTTTGCAAAACTCCCCCCCCAACCCTTTATGGCCTCGACGGCCCCATTTAAAACGTGTGACTCTTGACTAAACAAGATCCTGCTCACGGACAGGGCATTCGAAGTGGCCTCTCCGGTTTAGGATAAAATGACCAAGCACAGTCTTTGCAAATTCGCCAATAAATAATAAATAATCAACACATGTTGCATTTAGCAACAGGCTGTCTAGACTCTGATTATATCTTCGGGAGAGGTTCCTTCCAGCCACGGGTACAGTCCCGAAGGCAACACTTGTTCAGTCTATTCCTTTCTGTAAAATTCCTTTGAAATCCATGATCACGCAACCCTCCCATGGCAACACCAAGCGACATACATACGTACTTGGCAGGAACCCATCCTTGCAAGGGCCGGCATCATCACAACAGTCCAAAGAAACAGCTTTGGCACGGATTGTCTTGAAACAGACACCCTCGGTTTTGAATAAAAAAGCAAAGTTTCGCAAAGTGTGCTGCTTATAGACCACCCCCCGTAGCACTTTAAACACTCTCCGAGCAGTTTCTAAATTTAATTTTGCAGATTACACATTGCCCCGTTCCCCCTTGTTGGGTACTAGTTTTACCAACCTCAGAAGGATGGGAGACCCGAGTTCACCTCAGTCTGGCTCCCTGGGATTGAACCTGGGTTGCGAGCAGAGTTTCGGCTGCAGTGCTGCAGTTTAGCCACCGAGTCCTGGAAGCCACTTGCTGCGGAAAGCCAACAATGTAAAAGGAAAAAAGACAAGCTCTTTTTAAAATCCCAACCCCACAGCCAGAGAAGACTATGAAGAGTTGGTTTGCCTGGACTTGGGTTTTGGAGGGAGATGATGGTCCCCGGCTTCTCCCCACTCCACTTGACCCATTGGTCTCGCCCTCAACATACTTCTAAAACAAAGAAGGAAAGATGCAGAGAAGGGACAACATTGTCAGCAGACAACGGCTACCTGCTCTTCTTTGCTGTCCTCTGATTCTGACCTCCCATAACAACCGGGCCATGAACTCAGTTCAAGCGTACTGACTCTGTTCCCATGCCTATAGGGAAAGATGCTTATCTACCCATCATAATATTATATATTGCACCCTCATGAGGTTTAAGATGGGAGGGAACTTCTCCAGACTGGGGTGAATGTCAAACAAGTCAGGAGCATCCAATGGCTTCCCCCTCTCTACCTCAGATTATTTTTTTTCTCTCTTCTCCCCCACCTCCACCCCCAAGTTAGGGTTTAGTTAGTGTTCTGTCAATGTGAGTTATGGAGTCAAAAGTGAACAGTTAGAGTGAAGTATTCCATCAGCAAGGTAACTTAGTTCATGAAAAAAATTTAAGTAGTTAAGCTCAGTAATGGAACAAGTTAACATTTCCACAACATGTATTTGTATTTATATAAGAAGAGCTGTGAGTAAACAAAATGATTTTATTCCTACCAAAGTCTGTGAATGAATGTATTGAAACAAGTCAAGTGCCAGTTAAGGTAGACTCACAAATAAGGGTCAGCCTGCCAAAGGGACACTGTCGTTCAATCTGGTCTCTGTAGGTTCCTGCCAGAACCGTTTTTATCTGCTGCACAATCAGAAGGAAAGTTTATTAAGACACACACATTTTTCCTGCCAAACTTTGCCAAAACGACAGACACCCCAACCTATTATGTGGGGCCTGAAGGGCCATACACATTGCTCTACCCGGATTTGCAAGGAATGTACCGAGGTTTGGGGTCAGGCCTCCCAAACCTACATGGATGCCCCTCTGGTCACAGGAACGGTAGAGGTTGAAGCTGTACAGAAATTTCTTGCGAAATGACCCAGTGGCAATGGAGGCATCATCACCCTTGACCCATTCTCTTGTGCACGGCTGCCACCTTGTGGTCACCATTATGGCAGCATCTTTTCTATTTTTTCCTCCAGGCACATGAAAGAAGCATCATCTTCCAAAATGGCTGAACACCACCACCTGCTTTAACGTGCCCGATTACAAAATGGGGTGACATTTACGCTCAGAGCTAAAAGGACGTTCGGATGACCTGGAACTTGCTAAATGATCATCTGCCAAGGCGAGCTTAGCGTCCAGCACATGCATAAATTCCAGTTTTCCCTAGAGAGATACACAGGACCCCTAGATTTATGACACCTTTACTCCCAGCTTGCTGCTTTTCCTCTCCAACTTCTAGACCTGCTTACCTGGTCTCCTAAATGCTGAACTTTATTTACACTGAAATTTTGACATTACCCTCCACAATTCTTCTATTTGATTGGAGTGGATAGAAGAAAAGGCGACAGCACATTAGTGTTTTATCACTATTTCTACTCACAGTTCAAATCCTAGGGGGATTTTTTAAAGACTCATTTGAGTGATGTTTCTGGCTATGCTCATCAACCCCCTTGGCTCATTCTTTGGAAACTGAAAGTCGTGGCTTCTTTTATTGAGTCAGCCTCTCTCTTTGGTCTTCCTCTCTTCTGCTTGCTGGTGAATCTTGTTTGCTCATGATGTGCCCCAATGCGTGATAGCTTAGCTAATTTAGGTACAAGATGATTTACCTAACCTCATGGACATGTGACGGATAATCCTGGTTTTGGATTTGGGAGGTCCACGATCCAGTCCCCTGCTAGCTATGACACCCATCTAGAGACAAAGATCCACTCACTCTCTTCACGGACTTACGGGGGTTGTTACGAAGACAAGAACAGCTGTATACACAATCTTGGGGTGACTGGACAAGAGGTGGCACAGAATACAGAGAGGTAAAGTCAAGGAAACTTGGAATTTTATGGTGTTGGTGGCATTACCAGACAAACACAGAACCACCGCATACAGCCAGGCAAAAGGATGAAGCCCCCACCCCACCCTGCTGTGCAGAGTAAGATTAAGGAATACTGATGTTTTCAATGACACCTCCAAGAAACATCACTGGCCACGCTGGGGGCTTCTGGGAGCCTAGGAGCAAAAAATAAAAATAAAAAAAAATCTGGTGGGGCAAATGTTCTGTGCCCTAGGTAAAGGCAATCTAGAAACCTTGTCCAGCATCTCTAACGCAAGATTTGAGAAGAAGTAGCCAACGTTACCCTACTGTTCATCCTTGACAAAAAACAGAAGCACAATGGATGAAATGCCTACAACTCGGTTTCTGAAGAGCTGTGTTCGCTACGCCTAATAGCAGGGCTGCATTTGGGTTGTTCAGTTATTCCACTGCAGCCTTAAGCCAGGAGCTTGTAGCTCTGAAGTCTCTGCCAATCCTAATTAAACTTATTAGCCTGGGAATAATTGCTCAACAATATTCAAGGGCTGCTGGTGGTCTGTCCCTTAAAAGATCAAAAGCTTCCATGTTGTGAGTCCAGCAAATACATCAGCCCTGCAAAATTTGCACCTAGTATTTTGCTTCCCTGGGCTGATCAAGGAAGATCTTGCAGTACGAGACCCTTGCTATTTGCTTTCATAAAAAGCTCCCTTGAAACCACCAACATGAATTCAAGGATCTACGTCAGCAGACTGCATCTGAAAATGCAGCTTCATGCAGGGGTACATAAAACTTGAGTTGCATCAACATTTACAAGCTAACTCTGAATTCCAGTGCTTGTCCGAAGAGTTTCCCTTCTCACATGGCCAGCGTGACTAGAGAACGCTGTTTTACCTTCCCACCGAGATGGTACATAGTTATCTACTCACATTTGCATGCTTTCAAATTGCTAGGTTGGCAGGAGCTGGGACAAGCGACGGGAGCTCCTTCTGTCACGTGGATTCGATCTTACGACTGCTGGTCTTCTGACCCTGCGGCACAGAGGCTTCTGCAGTTTAGCCCGCAGTGCCACCATTGGTAACAATGTAAACCAACCAAATAACCATGGTATTTTTTTAAGGAATAGCCTGCTGAAGTATTTGTTGGTCAGGACAAATGGCCATCACGGTTAGTGGCCACGAAGAGAGGATTTGCTTGACTTGCGTCAAAACTGAAACCCTAGCTGTGCATGGACTTTATTTTGCTTTGCCAACATTTGTGCTACAAGAACCATGAGTTCAGTGAAGGCTCTTTAGAGCACGAGTTTTTCCCAACAGTGCCCGACTCACATGGACTAACCCCCCCCAGCTCTGCTAAAGCTAAGGCAAAAAACAAGCTGTGACAAGGAGTCACTCAATTGTCCGATAGGGTGGGTGCACTGCAACACACGCTATCCCACTTAAGAGGACAGCACTGTAGCATTAGCAGACCTCTGGTATCAGAAAACTTCAGGGCAGGGGGGTCACACTCCAAGAATCTATATTGGTTTTTAACAGCTCTGCAAGTGACCAAGAATTAAGACAAGTCAATTGTGGTGAATCCATATGATGAATGTATCATGGTGTAGCATGCAAGCAAATAGGGTTGAAGCCGTGTACAGTAAGTGGGGCCACTCTCCCCCCAACTTTGCATCAGCTCATCCAGATCCAGGACCCCTGGTGCTTAAGCTATGTATGAACACAGAGAGCTGGCCCAGCAAGCTCTGGAAAAAAATCAACTTTCCCATTACAAACCAGTAGGAATCAAAACTAAAACTGCTTTCCTATACAAATCTGTAGTACACTTGCCGTGCAGTGTAGGCTGCTGTCACATCTCCAAGGGCACCCAAAATAATAAGAGGGTTGCACAACCACCCCAATGAGCAACGGCAACACCTGAGGTTTTTAGTTCAAAACAAAGGCAAATGAAAGGACCAAACAGTTCAAAACAAAGGCAAATGGTGCCAAAAATACGGGAATTATCACTTGAATGGCCTTTTAAAGGAATTTATAAAGGCAAACAGGGAAATTAAGGCTATTCATGGCTAAAATGATCTCAAGGGTTCTACTTCTATTGCTGTGGATTGGAAGAACACAAAACTTAATTTGGCCAAATGTTTGAATTGCACCCTAGCTCCTGGAAAAGAACACAAGTATTTGTTTAGACCCTTCTTTTAATCTGTCCAAGACAGTATGCCAAAACACAAATGATAAAAACATTTTGCATTTGTACAGCAAGGAAAAAAGAAAAACAAAATAAAAAGAAAAACCTACAGAAACATGTAAAGGAAGTTAATTTTTGTACACAGGGTAAAACGTTATAAATTCAGGACAAAGCACTGACATGAGTCAATTCCCACATTTCTCGTTGTTTTTAAAAAAGTTCGTAAGTGTGGCCAGGGAGTAAAATGGCTCTTTCTCCGATGAAAGGGATTTTTCCAAGTACCTCTTCTTTTGGGGGGCCCGCAACGTATCTTGGAATGTCCTCAGAAGGCTCTGTCATTTTAAGGTGACAGAACTAAAAACACCAGAGTCCTTTCGGGTACAAAGAAAACAAGCCACTCAGTCATCAAATTTTATCTTCTTTCCCTGTGGTTTGTGGTCGCCGCCTCCGCCTCTGCCTCCTCTGAAGCTGCCGCCTCTGCCTAGAATGCAAATGAAGGTCAAAAACGAGAACTTGAGTCTCACAACACTCACAATTAGGGTATATCCAGGCAAGAAAGAGGAGGACCTGGCTTGCCGAGCCCAACTAGCAGCCCGTCCGCATATTTACCTCCAAATCCTCGGCCACCTCCCCTGCCGAAGCCCCCCCTGCCGCCGCGGCCGCCTCTGCCGCTACGACTGAAGCCGCCGCCGCCGCCACCGCGAGGACCGTCGCCCTTGGGCTTGGCAAAGTCTAGGGTCACTTTGTTGCCGTCGATCTCGCCGTCCTCCATGGCCTCTTTTGCTGCTTTGGCGTCTTCTGCAGAGTTGAAGTCCACGAAACCGAAGCTAGAAGAAAGAGTAACAGGAGTTTCATCTCCGTAAAAGACAGTCAAGACATTTTTCTGGATCCCTTGTATGCACAGTATTTTAGGAAGGCACTTGAGCCTTCGCCCCTCCCTGGCCTTACAAAAAAGCAAGACGCTTTTAACACAGCAGTGCAGCCACGTGTTCTAGAGGGACAGCCACACACTGTAACTTGCAGGGAAGTAGCTAAAGACACAATAGGTCCTGAGTGGGTCACCACAGTTCTTACAGTGCAACATCATGAACAATGGAAACCAACCAAATGGTGTGAGATACTGTGCACCAGCACACTCCTCCAGGCCAGGCATGATGAAATTACAGTGGTGCCTCGCTTAACGAATTGCTTCGTTAAACAACGAAACCGCGATACGATGTCTGTTTTGCAATCGCTAAACGATGTTTACTTAACAATTGCTTCGTTAAACAACGAAACCACGATACAATGACTGTTTTGCAATCGCTAAACAATGTTTAAATAGGCAAAATCCGCTTTGCTACGATCGGTTCCCTGCTTCGGGAACCAATTCTTCGCATTACGATAGGCGGCAGCTTTAAAATGGCCGCCGGCTGCTCAAAATGGCCCCCCGCTGTGCTTTTGGATGGATTCCTCGCTACAGTCACCGAAAATGGCCGCCAAAATGGCCCCTCTTCACTGGATGGTGAGTCACTGGATGGTGAGTTTTCAGCCCACTGGAACGCACTGAACGGGTTTTCAATGCATTTCAATGGGTTTTTAATTTTTGCTTAACGAGGATTTTGCTCTACAGCGATTTCGCTGGAACAGATTATTCTCGTTAAGCGAGGCACCACTGTACACTGGTTTGGCCTCATGTGACTTTCTAAACGACTAAGAACTTGGCCAAAGATGTCTAGGACCACGTAGGTACAAAAAAGGCCCTGCACGATCCAATCACCGTTATTGAGCTGGCATAATATGTTTTGAAGTCTGCAGGGTGGGCTCAAGATATGGATGCGTCTCTTGGTTTCCGCTTAGGGACGAGGGCCATTCGAAGACCTTTTGCTTTCAGACTTAACGACGGCTGAGCTTCTGACAGCAATGACTGCTCTGTTTAACCCAGGCAAAACTTTTACTAGGGCTTCCCAGGCTCCGTGTGTGCTATGGCCCAAAGGCAGAGAATCTGTAAAGCTGTTCCACAGCAAAGACAATCCCCCTCTTCTGAACGAGAGAGGAACTTCTCAAAGCCAGTGCTGTAGCTTTCCTCTTCTTCTCATGCAAATCCATAGCCTGCCACAGGTCTTAAAAAGCAGGAAGGAGCTCATGGAGAAGGCTGGGGGCGGGAATAGCTTTAGCTCACTGTTTCTTAACCTGGGGTTACTCATGAGTTTTGGACTGCAACTCCCAGAAGCCTTCACCACCAACTGTGCTGGCTGGGGTTTCTGGGAGTTGCAGTTCAAAAACATCCGAGTAACAAAGGTTAAGAACTACTGCTTTAGCTGTTGGAACCACACACTCACCCTTTGGACGAGCCAGTATCTCTGTCAGTGACTATCCTTGCCCCGACGGAGCCGTCAAAAGACTCTCGCAATGTCTCTTCTGTGGTTTCCTCAGACAGCCCTCTGACGAACAGCGTTTTGCTTTGTTCTAAAGAAACAAAAGAACATCTAGGGTCAGCCCTGCGCATGATGAAGATGACCTGAATGTTTTAGTCAGGGGGCTAAAAGGCTACATACGGCCAAAGCTTCCTCTGGCGTTTGAACTTCTGTTCGGTCCTCCTTGTGTGCTGAATTCTAGTCTGATTGTCCGGCCTTCGATCTCTGTGTTGTTGCAAGAGTTCATGGCGTCTTTTGCATCCTCAACGGAGGAAAACTCTACAAACGCATAGCTACGGAGAGAGGAATGGGAGTCAGACAGCTGCTAGCTAAGGAAGAGAGGCTTATCTCCCCCCCCCCAAATAAACCCCTTCCCTTCAGACGGCAACCTCAAAGTCTGCGCCTTCTTACCCTTTGGGCCTGCCCTGGTTGTTCTGTGGAATCCTGATGGCAGAGGCTTTTTCGAAGACTTCCTGAAGAGAATCTTCTGTGGCATCGTAGGAGAGGTTGTTCACCACAAGGGTCTTTGACTCTCCACCTGCGTGCGCAAGAGAGCCCGAAATTCAAAACGTTCAGATCAAGGTGCAACAGATTCATGTTCTATTTCAGAAAATATATTCTCTGTGCATCGATTTTTACAGGGCGTGTCCTTAAACCCTATTTAGGGGGAAGGAAGAAAAGGCGGTCTTGAGAAGACCTTACTTCCTCTCATCTCCAGCCTCTCTTGTTCTGGCCAGACGAAAACAAGGCCATGAAAGAGATACTTTTCAAAGAATGCCTGAGATCTCATCACACCAAGCACACGCAAAGAAACCAGCTAATGCGGATTCATGGTGGCCACTTACCTCCTTGTCCTCCCTTGCTCCCTTTTCTGCCATCCTGCTGGCTCTTTTCACCGGTATAGTCAAGCATGATGGCACGGCCACCTATCTCCATGCCTTGCTTCTCCTCAAGCGCCTTTTCCGCATCAGCCTCCGTTTTAAATTCAATGTAGGCAATCCTGGCAGGGGGTTAAGGGAGAGGAAATGCTGTCAAGGGTTTTTAAAAAGGTCTCAGCACAGATTTCTCTTTTAAGAAAATGCTTGTAACAATCTCCATCCAATCCCATGAACAAACTCAAGATCAAGTGACTATAGAAAAAAAAATTAAAGGCCCTTTATACCAATCTGACTCCTTTGTACTGGGGGCCTATGAAAGTTAAACCGCCTGCCCAACCAATCTTTTGCATTTCTTAGGATAGCTTGACCAACAGAACAAAGAGAAAAACAGGTTGTTGTAAAATGAGGCTTACTATAGATTTTTAAAACAAAACTCTTCGTAAATGCCTGCAACACAGCTCTTTGTAGAAGGACATACCCTTTGCTGCTCCCGTCTCTGGACACCAGCCTGACCTCCAGGGCATTATCGAACTCTTCTTTCAACTCCTCCTGGGTGACGCTGTAAGGAAGATTCTTGACAAAGATGGTTCTTGCATCTCTCTCTGAAAGAGGAAGACCGTGCAAAGTGACAGAGCGGAGTGAAGTCAGATCCTCTGAAAACTCTTCCAAAAATCAGTCCAGTGACAAAGCACATGCCTTGTGTGCAAAAAAAAGTGCCAGCTCGGTTGAAGAGCTTCTTTTGAAGGTTGTTCCATACAACGGGCAACCTACGGGGAGATCGCTGGCCTGGCTCATACCCCAGCAGCTTCCTAGGTCTCTAACAGGGACCCTCAAGCTTAGGAATTGGCTTGTAACGTTACTCACCTTTCTTGTTCTCTTGAATGCTTTCTCTGCTCTTTGCTTTTTCCAGTTTCATTTCCAATCCCATTAATTTTTTCCCGTTGAATTTCAGTGCTTTGTCCAGGTCAGCTTCAGTGGAAAAATCTGCATAACCAAACTTCCTGCAGCGCAAAAGGAGACTTGTTTTTCTATATCCAATTCCCATCTCAAAAAAGAAGGCTAGGCATAAAATCTAGTCACAGGAAATGACTCTGCTGAAAACTAGCAAAACAGAAGTGAAGCCTGAGCAAGTAGAATCTTAAGAGGGACAAAGGAAAGAGACGTGAGCAGAGTTCTGGGACCTTCAAAGCCAACAGGATCTACAATAGCATCTGGTGAGGTGGCATTTCTTTGCCACTCACCAGTCTCTGGAAGAATCACTGTGACAAAAAACAGCAAATCAGTTTGCTTCTGAAACACCAATAAAGGGAAAAGCATGTTGTGTAAAGTTATGCTGGCATAAATGAGATCCGAAACAATACATTTAAACTAACTGAAAGGTTCCCAACCCCCTTTTCAGGTTTACCCCCCCCGACCCTTGGGAGCCTCAGGACCTGGGTTTTAATAGTCAAAAAGTGCTGCCACCAAGGATCCAGTGGTGATTTTTAACTATGAAAGGCTTCCTGCCCTGAGGCTCCGAAGGCCAAAAGGGAGCTCAAGGGAGCCTTTGAATCTGCAAAGGTATGTGTGTGTGGGGGGGGGGAAGGAATTAGTTTAATTATTTCCAATGTGGATCTAGTTTGTGCCAGCGTAACTTTATGTACAGTAACAGGATTTTGCTCATTCTGGAGTTTTCGTTGAACTAGTACAAGATTCCATCAATTTAATCAAAAGATTTGGATCTAAAATGGTCATTTTATTCATGGACTATGGCATGAGTGGCTTGACATTATAAAGTGCTCATGCACAGAAAAATTAAGTTGTTTTTACTGAATTAACAGTCCCGTTTTTGCTCTACTACTGATGAAACGAATCAGGCTCAGACCTCTCCAAAAGCTTTTATTAATCTCTGCCTTTAATTAAATGTCAACATTTGAGCTCTTGTTCAGCAGTATTTCTCCCCAAACTGCAGGACCGGCGCTCCAGCTCATTGTGGGCCTCCAGCAGACTTTCCAACACAAGGGCAGCCACTAAGCCTCTGCTCACTCAGTTTAAAGTGTACTTTAAACAATGTCCTTTAAGAAGTGAAGAGAAACTAAGCAAACACACGGTTCTTACTTTGAATTGCCGATTCTGACTTCTTGTACTTGAAGCCCTTTTTTGGCGAAGAAGTCCTTGATCGCAGCCTTCAGTTCCTCAAAGTCCTTGCTCGAGTTCAGATTGCCCATGAAGAGGGAGAAGGCAGCATCTAAAAGGTTAGTGGAAGGTTAAGAGGTTGTGTCCGCATCCCTATGGAAAGACTGAAGGAAGGGCTGAATCAAACTTCCATCAGATTCATCTTTAACGCTAGATTCTTGCTGCCATTCGTGTGGGGAGGTACGCCTTCTATACTGTATCCAGCATGAAAAGAAAGCCCTGTACAGCTTGGCTGCCTCTTCACAGGGGCCAGCAGTAAAATGCTGAGGAAATCAGCATAGCAGACTCTTCTATCATGCAAGGACATTTAATCCAGTCATGTCCGACTCTAGGGTGCGGTGCTCATCCCAGTTTCCAAGCTGTAGAGCCAGTGTTTATCTGTAGTTTCCGCGGTCACGTGGCCAGCACAACTAGACACAGAACACTGTGACCTTCCTACCTAGGCGGTATCCATTTATCGACTCACATTTTCATATGCTTTCGAACTGCTAGGTTGGTGGGAGCTGGGACAAGCGACAAGAGCTCCCTCCGCCGCATGGATTCAGTCTTACGACTGCAGGTCTTCTGACCTTGCAGCAGAGGCTTCTGCGGTTTAACCCGCACCACCACCACTGGTAATGTACTGACATAAAATTAAAATAATGGCTCAATTTTTTGTGTCTACTTTGTTTTTTTATTCTTAATATTTTGAAAGCTGGGCTCCTTTTTCTGGTTTTTCTTTTTATATGCAAGTGATGAAAATCCAATTTCACAGATTGGTGGCAGCAAATGATAGAAGAGTCTGCTATGCTGGTTTTGCCAGTTGTGGAAATGGTTCTGAGAGCACCAGAATGGTTCTAAGTCCAGTTTTTCAAATTCTACTTGAATACGTGCATTGGCTCATATTTCAACAAGATAATATTTTATTAGTTACTGTTGTCTTTTAAGGTGAAAACTGGCTTCTGCGGTTTAACCCGCACCACCAACACTGGTAATGTACTGACATAAAATTAGTATGTACTGACATAAAATTAAAATAATGGCTCAATTTTTTGTGTCTACTTTGTTTTTTTATTCTTAATATTTTGAAAGCTGGGCTCCTTTTTCTGGTTTTTCTTTTTATATGCAAGTGATGAAAATCCAATTTCACAGATTGGTGGCAGCAAATGATAGAAGAGTCTGCTATGCTGGTTTTGCCAGTTGTGGAAATGGTTCTGAGAGCACCAGAATGGTTCTAAGTCCAGTTTTTCAAATTCTACTTGAATACGTGCATTGGCTCATATTTCAACAAGATAATATTTTATTAGTTACTGTTGTCTATTAAGGTAAAAACTAAATGGATCCAGTATCCATCTCTACTCTTTGTCATTACTGCCTGTGGAAAAATATCCATGAAAAGATGCAGCCAACTGTTGCAAATACATAACAAGTTCCAGTAAAATTGTGATTTTCTCATGTTCCCAAACAATCTAGCAAGGGAAAGTTTTCAAAATTACAAATTTCAACTCAATATATCCATTTTTCGCCATAAAGAAGGATAATTTTTCAGGAGCTGTTGTTCTTACCATATGCTTGCATTGATATATTTAATTCATTCAGGTAAATGAATATACAGTATCTAAGGAAGCCAGTCGAAGTATTGCATCTCTTCTTTCAAAATCTTTAACTAAACTACATGTTTAGTATGAAACTGAGTCATTTCCTTGCACATTTCAAAAACCCTGCATAGCATATGTCCCTCGGAGAGCCATCTTATGTCAGTGTGATAAAGCACTGTATAGTCAGCACCGATTTCTTAAAAAGCACAAAAGATATGATTAAGCGCCCGTCCTTAGCTAAGTGTTGTTTTAACTTATCTGGCAAATTTTTACAGCACTTCTTTCTTCGTATAAAAAAAAAATCCGGAATTTGTGCCTAACATTGCAGGGGCACCCTCAGTGCAAACTGAGCCTATTACATCCATTGGTATTTGATGTTTTTTTTAAAAAAAAATCTTTAATGTGATTGAAAACAATAATTCTTTTTGCAGTCATCTCAAAATGAGAATTCTTCCAAAATTTCCTTTACGTAACCTCACAAATACTAACAGCTGACTCTAAAAGCAACTATCAACATCAGTTGACCTGTCCAACTGAATGTACTTACTTGGACTGGCTCTAATGTCTTGTACTACTTGTGGTCAAATATCCTGACTGGTATATTGAATACACAATCGAATCACGTAATACGGAATCTGATGAATTTTCTTATATACTTCAGAACCTAATACAATTTTTGCAATTTCCAATGAACATGGTTTTATCAATTTCTCACCTATTGTGTAAGTCTTTTTTCCCCCCCTTAGCACAGACATGCCACCTGGTAAGGTTCTAAAGCAAAGGCTTCTGAACTGTCAAAAAAGCAAATTTTGTGATAGGACCACTGGTATCAAATTGTGCCTCGTCAGACCTGAAGGTGTTAAGTGTATGCAATAACAACAGGAAAGTGGTGGCGACTCCCTCACAGCCCAATTCACCTTCTGTTTTCTTTTTCTTAGCATCCGGGGTGCCTTGTTTTGCCATTTCTTTCTTTCGCTTTCCGGCCACTTCCTGAACAGCGTCTGTGGAGCAAAAAAGAAAAAACAAACCTGAGAAAACTTGCACAGGGAGAGAGTGGGTGAGTCACGGACACCATCAGGAAAGACAGCTGGATCAGGACTTGACTATCTTGGGTTGTGCTCATCTGTGATATGTATCACATCAGTTCAGCGAGAATTCATCATTTCCAGCTTTATTATAAACCCGCAAAGACAAGACTGAATAAAGTGGCCACATTCAAATCACCTTCATCTTCTTCCTCCTCCTCGTCATCCTCCTCCTCGTCATCCTCTTCCTCATCATCATCCTCGTCGTCGTCTTCCTCCTCCTCGTCCTTGGCAACCTTTGCTGGAGTGGCTTTTTTTGCTGCTGGCTTCACAACTACAGCTTTCTTTCCTTTTGCTGGAGTTGTATCCATGGGTTCATCTTCTGACTCTGAAGCCGTAAGAAAACAGCAATTTTACATACTGCCCGGAGCTTAAAGCCCTCGAGAACAACCCCTTCTCTCCAAATGGCAGTTCACACAAGGAGCAATTCTTAGTGGAACAGAAGGCCCGCTTAGGAGAATGGTCATGCATCCGAATGGCATGACAACGCAGAGCTGCCTCTTGACACATCACGAAAACATGAGGCTCAAGTCAAAAAGGAGAACGCTGGCAAGGATCTGGGGCCCAAAGGACAGTTTGGAAGAGAAGGCAATCCTGTTTGCCAAAGGCAGTCTGGACTATTCCTGGAGAGCCACTCAGGCAAATTTGCAGGGCCCCAATTCACTCAGAAAGCCCCTCCAACTGGCAATTAATTCTATGTGCCCAAATGTCCAACACATCAGTTCACGTTGGTGACATCACAAGATCAGTATTAAGTCCCAAAACTCATCACCTGTGCTGGTAGCCGGGCATCTTGTTTCTTTTACATAATTATATTTGCAGACCATCAAGTCAATTCTTTACAAGGTTTCCCAGGTAGAAAATACTCAGAGATGGTCTACCATTTCCTTCTTCTTGGGTTGCCCTGGGACTGTGTAGCTTGCCCAAGACCACACAGGCTGCCTCTTTTCCCTGGAGGCTCAGTGGTGAACTGAACTTGCAGCCAGAGACCTAACTCACTGAGCTATCCAGCCAGCACTATACATAGTTCTCAATTTTCCCATGCTCCATTGCGTACCATACTCACGGGGCCATCTAGAATGCCTGACCCCCTAACCTGAGTCAAGGGTAAAAGGCACAAGCTCGGCGACCTTGTCTCTGCAGAGCAAAGCAAAGCGTGCTGCTTATATACTGCCCCATAGCGCTTCAAGCACTCTCTGGGCGGTTTACAATTTTATTACGCAGGCTACTCATTGCCCCCCCAGCGAGCTGGGTACTCATTTTACCGACCTTGGAAGGATAGAAGGCTGAGTCAACCTCGAGCCGCTACCTGGGATTGAACCCTGGGGTCGTGAGCAGTTTTAGCTGCAGTACAGTGGTTTAACCACTGCGCCACGAGGCTGCTCTGCTCTTTCAAACCTGTACTATAAAACCTTAAAGATCTAAGGTATATCTCCTGTCCCCCCTCCACAAAACCAACTTACCATCCTCTTCATCTTCCTCCTCGTCATCTTCCTCCTCGTCATCTTCCTCCTCCTCCTCGGTCTTTTGCTTGGCTGATACAGCAGCCACAGGGATTGCAGGCTTTTTCGCAGTTTTTTTCAGTGGAATGGGAGGCTCCTCTTCAGACTCATCTGTAGTAAGCAGGGCACCGTTATTTACCAGCAAGTCAGGATCCGGTTAGAGCAAAAGATGGTTAGTATGGCCCTTCTTTAAAAAGGCTCCTTCCAGAGTCTGGCCTCTTAATGATCAAAAAGGATCACCTGACACAGGCATGACTTTTTTTTCTGAGGCTGCACTGAAGTTTCCCCACACTGTGGCTGATCCTGATGGGCAAAAATGGGCACCAGTGACTCTACAATATTCTCAAGTCACTTAGTCTAAATCCTCTCATTAACAGGAACCTTCTAAAATAGGCATTCTGTACATTAACCCCAGAAATAAAGCAGCACTCCCTGAAATATTTTTGCCTCCCATCATGTGCTTTCTCCTGCAAAACCCATGAACGTCTCCTTACTCAAGAGAGCAGTGTTTTAACAGCCTATAAGATGACGGAATACCCTATTTACCTTCCTCCTCTTCCTCACTATCTTCCTCCTCATCCTCATCGTCTTCCTCCTCCTCCTCACTCTCGTCTTTCTTTACATTCTTTCCATTCTTGGCTCCTTTGACTGGGACTGGCGTCTTCTTTGCTGGAGTAGCAGCTCCTTTCTTTGCGGGAACAGGAACTACTTTTTTAGCTGGGGTAGCCACTGCCTTCTTGCCAGGAGTTGCTGCCTTTTTGTTGGGAGTAACTGCTGTGGCGGCCGTTTTTCCTGGAGTAACCGCTTTCTTCAGAGGAACCATCTGCAAGGAAAGGAATATAATTTTCTTCTGAATTAACAACGTACAGGGTGCACAATGAGACCACCATATGTACCAGGAATGGAAAACTTACTCCTTCAGGTGAGTACCAATCTTTGGACTCCTTACAAAAGCCCAAATCGCCTTGCCCAGCAATGCTGGGTAACGGAAATGGCATGGCTTTGGAGTCAAACCGCCCTAAGCTGAGAAATCAACTGTGCACATTATCTGCTGCATATGGAGTTGTGTAGCACTGGTGCAAGTGACAACGCCCAGTGATTTCTTACCTTGGGGCAATTTGCTTCTAAACATTACACCACCTGCTCGGGAAGAACAGAGATGTGTGGACGCTGTTTCATATGGCAAATTGTTTGCCTGAAATGTCTCTTCATATGATCTGGACACATTTAATTATGCTTCTCTTTTATCGGGTCCATGAGCGCACAATAAAAGATGGATGAAACGAGACTTCTCTGGGCCTTTCAGAAGCACAGCTGAACAGACCTAAGCCTCATGCAGGGATTTTGACAGCAATGGTTCCCAACTTTGGGTCACCCAGGTGTTCTTGGGCTGCAACTCCCAGAAAATGTAGGGTTTAACAAAAAATATACAAAAATGATGTCCTGCAGCCACAGTTTCCTGCCCCAATTGCAGTCCTGCTAAAGATTTAATATGAATTAGGCTTGAGTTGAGTAATCTGAAAACTGCTGAGATGCAGATGGCCATAGTCAACTCTCACCTCCTCCTCTTCCTCGCTACTGTCTTCCTCTTCAGAAGAATCTTCTTCACTGTCATCGACTTCCTTGGCAGGAGGAGCGGCCATTTTCTTCAGTTTAGGCTGAGTTTTCACGGTCTAGGGGATTAAAAATAAATAAATCAGAGGGCTGTTATTCCTAACATTATTGCTAGCACATGGAAATACAGAATGAAACACCTATTTCCAACTCTGTGGGATTACACTAGAGGAAAACAAGCACTGGAAGGTTTCAGGTCGGGAAAATCCATTTGAGGCCCTGGAAATGAGGTTGCCTCAAGTATTCCTGGGATTGCCCAGGACTCCACCGTACACACAGGCACATGCCTTCATTCCTCCAACCTTCAAGCACTTTCTATAAATAGTCGGGACACAGAAATCCTCATGTATGCATCAAGAAAATAAAGGCAATGAAGAACAGAACGTAACTGCTCTGCACTTCACCTCAATGCACACAATAACCCATATTTCTTTCCAGTTTGGAGTAAAGGGGTGAAGTAAATGGCAATCTTTCCCCACCATTTCCAGCTACCTTCCATCTTCAGGGCTAAAAAGACACTTTGAACATGCAGAAACTCAAACTTACCGTTAGGGGGCCAATAAAAGACTGAGGTAGAATCAAAAGCAATCACTAGGAAAAGCATACTTTAAGGGGGTTCCTGAAAAAGCATGTGGCTGTATGTTGACCACACCAAATCTTAGGCTTTCTTTGCACAAATTGGGAATCTAATATTAGGCTTCCAACCACCGCTTCTCTTCCACTATGACCACCACCCACCCAACAGGAACAACTGTGAAACCTCGATTTCCAATATGACATTGACTTCTTTCAAAGTAATGGACTTTATTATGGACACTGCAAAGGACCAGAAATACTCTCGGCTGATGTTAAATGAACACAACACCAAGAATCACCATTCAAACGCTTGCTAAGCCAGGCTATCATCCTGCAAGGCAAAAATGTGTGCATCCCGCGTGTGACTGCAAGATCAGTGGGAGGAGTGAAAGGAAGCCTTTTTTTTACACCTAGAGGACGCCAGGTTGGGAAGAGAAGCCTTAGGAGAGCCCCTGTCGTTCAAGGTGAAGTTATTCCCAGCAGCCCTGTTTCCTCACCGGCAGATCGCTCCAGGACAACGCATCTGCTTTGCATGCAAGCCAGCCGAATTCCCACTACTAGTTTTATGTTCAAAAAAGCCCCCAAGCAAGGCCTTAGGCCAAAGCATTTTTGCCTTAAAACTGGAAAACCTGCTCTCGTGACTGGCCCCGGCCGACCCACGACAGGATGGTGACGATCCTCTGCCGCCAGATCGCGTTTCCTGCCCATGTCGGCCGCCTGGCGGGAGACGGTGGATCAGGACCGAAACACGCCGGGGTCCCCGAGGCTGGGCAAAGTGGACCACCTGGCCTGGATCCCACCCGGAAGCCCCGTTTTCCCGCCTCCCAGCCAAGGACAAGGTGCGGCGGGGCCGGGGGAAGAAACAGCCATTCCGGCCCTTCGTCGGGCTTCGGCTCCGCGCAAGAGATCCGGCCGCGGCCAGGGCTTCGATCCGACCACGTGGAGCCCAAGCAGGCCAAAGCCAGGCCTGGCCCGCGAGGTTCGCTCGCCTCTCCCTCTCCACGTGGTTCCTTCGCCCCGGATCACGTGGCCGGGCGACGCACGCGCTCCACCGCCTTCCGATTCCCGCTTGGGGGGGGTAAGGCGGGGGCGCCTAGAAACTCCACCGGGGTCCCGCGCACGCGCCATTGCCTCTGTCTTTTTTTAACCTCCCCATCTCTCTCTCTCGAGGCCCATCGAGACGCCCTTTTTGAAAACTGATCGAGGACGGAGAAGGGAGTCCTAGAAACTGCCCAACGTTCTACGCGAAGCGCGCATGCGCGCCTGACGGCCGGGGGGGGAGAACAGAAGCCCACAATAATGAAAGGGGGGGAGACTTGAAACCGTAGTTCCTTTGATAAGTCTTGTGCGCGGCTCCGGGCGGGAGGCCTAGAAACTGCCGCGCACGCGCTCTGAAGGCAGTCTGAGGAGGAGGAGGCGCGCGCGCTCTCTCTCCCTCTCTCTCTCGTCCGCTCGCTCTCCTTTCCCTCCCTTCCCCCACCGAGTTCTCTTTCTCTCTCTTTTCTCTCAGAAGCCTTGAAAGCGCTGAAGCAAAAAAAAAATTTAAAAATAAAATAAAATCCGCTAGTTTTTTAACATCTTCCCGACTAGGCCGCGCGCCTCACCTTGGCGAGTTTCACCATAATGGCGGCGGCGCTGTGGTCCGGATGTCGAACGTCTCTCTCTCTCCCTCCACCACCTCACGCTCCGAGCGCCCCGCTTCTGTCTCTGCCTGAAACGAAAAGAGCGAGGTCGAGGGCTCGCTTCCCTCTTCCTCCCGCCCCGCGCAGGGGCCTCGACCAATCGGCGCCCGCGCTGCCCTCGGCCCCTCCCACCTGGGGGGAGGTGGACGGCCACCCTTCGGACTTTCCCGCCCTCGACCAATCCCGGCGACGGGTCGATCGGCCCCGCCCAATAAGAATCCCTCGCCGGAGGGAGAGCCCGGGCCCAGAAGAACTAGCCAATAGAGAGGCGGCGTTGGCAGCTCCGCGAGCTAGGATTGGTCTCCACTGACGGACGGAAGTGCTTGAATGTAAAAAGAGGAGCACGTGGCGGATGGTCTCAGTGTGAGACCATGTGGGTCTGTCTGCAGAAGGGCCAGCTGTTGGAGAGGGGGCGGCAGCCTTACCTGCGAGTAAACCCATTTGGTCTAGTAGGACTTACTCGCAGGGAGTACCCCCAAGGCATTCATTGAGGTGGTGGGAGAGGGACGGAGCAGACATTGCGAATCTATTGTATCTCCCCCCCCCCCGCCCCAAGTGGGGCTTTATCTCTGGGATGGAGGGATTAACAAAACCCCTGGGAGTATGCACTAGGGTCGCTGCTTTGGCAGTTATCTGTGTCGGCCTTATTACGTTCTGGCCCCTCTACTAGCCTGAGAAATTAGAAAAGGGGGGGAGGGGTAGCTGAAGCCTAGAAATAGGAAGTAGGGTGAGGTGCAGAAAAGCGTGGTCTCCCCCGCACTGTTAGGCTACAAGTCTAGTTATTACCCCACGATCCACTCTGTTGGCTCAAGCCTGAACCTTTCTGATCTTTCAGTGGGATTGCATGGGAAATCGTGGCTTCCTAGCCTGAGAAATTAGAAAAGGGGGGGAGGGGTAGCTGAAGCCTAGAAATAGGAAGTAGGGTGAGGTGCAGAAAAGCGTGGTCTCCCCCGCACTGTTAGGCTACAAGTCTAGTTATTACCCCACCATCCACTCTGTTGGCTCAGCCTGACCCTTTCTGATCTTTCAGTGGGATTGCATGGGAAATCGTGGCTCTTAGAATAAGGGAAATGGAAAAGGCGTGAGACCACATTTTGACACAGCCTTTTCTACGTAAAGGCTGCTCGTGATAGGTTACAAGAAAGTTAAAAATAAAGCAGACTTTCAAGTTCTCCAGAGCTCTTCATTAGGCAGAGAGGATATAAAATTTGACATTAAGGCAGCCCCTCTCCCCCAAACGTTCGCCTTAATGTTCATTAATCCGATAAATGCATAAAGCTATTAGCTGACTACTCATGTAATATCTATATTGGATTCGGGGAGTTGTGCAGAAAAATGAACTTGTCCAACAGAGCAACATATTCCACCGTGTCTGAATGTTGTGTTTTCTCTTGCTCAGGGGAAAGCATTGCAACTCAGTGGAGAAAGAAGCACATGTTTTTCATGCCAAGGGCCCTGGTTTTGATTTCTGGGAAAGATTTCCTGATGGAGACTTACTGCCCCTCAGTGTCCTACTGCAAGTACCTTTTAGGGTTCTTTCTTGTCCTTGGAAAAATGCTCTTGCCAAACCCCTCTCTGTGTTTTCCACATGTGTAAGGGGAGTCATCAAGTAAGGAAACATGCAAGAGAGAAAACTGCTGGAGCAAAGAAAGAGGAGAAATGGCCGTGCAATTATAGGACTGAACAGGCTTCTCACTTTTGTACTTGAGACGGAGCTTGAAGGATTCCTGACTGGATGTTCTGTGAATAAGATTTGCTAATGTCCTTGAGACAGAAGAGCAGCTTTAGTCCAGCATATGTAGAGGGCTACAGCTGCGGGGGAGTCTGCTTCAGATGGTTAGTGCTATCTTATTTCTGCCAATTATTAGTGTTGGTTAGTGCTATCTTATTTCTGCCAATTAGTGTATTTAAGTATCCTTCAGTCTCAAGAGACTATGATAACGTGTTCTGTATGGAGGACTTGGAACAGCGTCTAGTGTGGCTGAGAAGGCCAATTCGAGAGTGACCATCCCTTCCACACTGAAGACAAATCCAATCTGTCCCCTGTACAGCTCCCTGGTTTTGCTGCTTTCATGATTGCCTCTTTGCCTCGGCCTGCTGGACAAGGGTCTCTTCAAATTGGGAGAGGCCGTGATGCACCGCCTGCCTCCAAGCTGAACGCTCAGAGGTCAAGGTTTCCCATCTGTGGAGGTCCATTCCTAAGGCCTTCAAATCCTGTTTGCAGATCTCCTTGGATCACAGCTGTGGTTTCCCTCTGGGGCGCTGTCCCTGCCCTCGTTCTCCTTACAGGAGATCTTTTGGAATCCCACCAATTAGTTTGGGTCACTGCAGAATATAAGCATCTAATTGCACCTCTGTTCGGATTGGAAGTGAGGTACTCCTAAACTATCAACTTATTGGACATGGTCAGTAAAAAATGCATTTTGTTATTACATGCTGGCAAGTCAGAACTGAGTTCCAGCGCCCCTAAGAGGGCTTTCAGGGTAAGTATAGTATGTATGGAATGGTTTTACCAGTATCATCCTCCCCCCAGGTGAGTTTCCATGGCTGAACAGGGGTTCAATCCCTGGTCTCCAGCATCCTAGTCCATCACCACAGTAGGTATCTCATGTATACCCTGGTCACTTGTAAAGAATGATAGGAAGGACATCATAAACTTTTAACCTCTCACACGTTATGGCCGATAGCAATGTAATACGAAGGTAGAGAGTGTGCAGCCCTCTGGACAGCAGCCTCCATCAACTGATGGGCGGTGAAGAGCGATGTCTGGAGGGCCACAAGCCGCACATCGCGCTGTGAAGAGGCCTAACAACTGTTTATCAAGCCAGAATGTCACTTGGTTGAGAGAAGAAATATTCGTCCTGCTCTCCCACCCTTTTCTTAGTTTCATTGACAGTCTTCACAAATCTTTGCGTTTATGTACCATCATAGGATGTTTTAATTGGGATTGGCGATGAATCTAGAGCTGGGCTGAATCTAAACCCTTCCTAGCCTAGGGATCCTGGAAATTAGGATTGTTTGGCACTGGGCTAACTTTGAGCTGGCACAGTGGCTCGAGTGCTGAGCTGAAGGCAATTTGAATTTGGTGCAATTCATCTCTCTAAGATAGGGAGGCAGTGACAGATTTTACCTTCTTCAGCTCCATTATCATTGCAGATGGTGACAGCAACCACGAAATTAAAAGACGCCTGCTTCTTGGGAGGAAAGCGGTGACAAACCTCAACAGCATCTTAAATAGCAGAGACATCATCTTGCCTACAAAGGTCTACATAGTCAAAGCGATGGTTTTTCCAGTAGCGATGTATGGGAAGTGAGAGCTGGACCATAAAGAAGGCTGACCGCCGAAGAATTGATGCTTTTGAGTTGTGGTGCTGGGGAAGACTCTTGAGAGTTCCCTGGATTGCAAGGAGAACAAACCTATCCGTTCTAAAGGAAATCAGCCCCGAGTGCTCCCTGGAAGGACAGATCCTGAAGCTGGGGCTCCAATCCTTTGGCCATCGCATGAGAAGAGAAGACTCCCTGGAAAAGCCCCTGATGTTGGGAAAGTGTGAAGGCAAGAGGAGAAGGGGACGACGGAGGACGAGATGGTTGGACAGGGTCATTGAAGCAACCAACAGGAATTTGACCCAGCTCTGGGAGGCAGTGGAAGACAGGAGGGCCTAGTGTGCTCTGGTCCATGGGGGCACGAAGAGTCGGACATGACTAAACGACTAAACAACAACAAAATCTTCTCTCTCCCTGTCACTTCTCTGTTCCATTTTTTCCCTGGCATTCCTGCTGGCTGACCATAACTGGGACAGTCTTTCCAGCAGATTCTTCTGCCAGGAGATCTCCGGAGATCGGCCACCTGACGGGGGTTCCCTTATCACTTACAGCCAGTATGTGTTTGAATTTAGATTGTTCCTTGAGACAGCGAGTTAAGAGCATCTGTTTGTCAGAGCGTTGTTTCGCTTTCCCTTGGCTACTGGAAGTCATTCAGGCCTCGGCGAAACAAAGCAAGGGAATTTCCCTTTAGTGAGTCAGCCTCTACCGCCATTAGGTCTCAGGTCTACTCTGAGTACAGGAAGGTTAAGTGCAGTCTCCAGTTAAATGAATGGAATAGAGACGTGTGGAATATAGCTATTAATAGACCTTGTCTAAAAGGGCAGGATAGAAATCTAATCAATCAATCAATCAATAAATATACGGAAACAAAGCAAGGGAATTTCCCTTTAGTGAGTCAGCCTCTACCGCCATTAGGTCTCAGGTCTACTCTGAGTACAGGAAGGTTAAGTGCAGTCTCCAGTTAAATGAATGGAATAGAGACGTGTGGAATATAGCTATTAATAGACCTTGTCTAAAAGGGCAGGATAGAAATCTAATCAATCAATCAATCAATAAATATACGTTGACATGCGGGATAGAAATCTAATAAATAAATCAATAATTAAATATACATTGACATGCAAAATTAAAGGAAGAAAAGGAATGTTAAATAAGAATGTGTTTAGAGATAAATGGAGAGAATTTGTTGACTGCGCCTCATGGCGCAGTGGTTATTTGGCTGTACTGGAGCTGAAAACTGTGCTCACCATCCAGAGTTCAATCCCAAGTAGCCGGCTCAAGGTTGACTCAGTGGTCGATCCATCCAAGGTTGGTAAATGGAGTCCCCAGCTCGCTGCGGTTGGGGGGAACACAACAATATCTGGAGTCCCCAGCTCGCTGCGGTTGGGGGGGGAACACAACAATATCTAGCCTGCATAATTAACTTGTCAACCACCCAGAGAGTGTTTGAAGTGCTATGAGGCGGTATATAAGCAGCACGCTTTGCTTTTTTGCATTAGCAAAGGGGATGGCTTGTGTATCTTTGTACGATTCAATGTATTTGGGAAAGAGGAATGGGGATCCATAAAAAGAAGGAAAGAGATTATCTCCATTGGTCCTGGGGGGGGGACGCATTACGTGTATATGTAGGTTTACTTTAGTTGTGCTTTTTAAATGTATACAGTGGTGCCTCGCATAACGAGCGCACCGTTTAACGACGAATTCACATAGCGATCCGTTTTTTGGGATCGCT